TACTTAATAGGGTTTTTATCATTGCAATTTAAGTTGGATATTAAATATTAACCCCTCCTTCCTATACTCTATAACAATTTATTAAAATTTTTATAATAATACACATATATGCATTTACTAAGTAATATCAGTRTTAATTTAGCTTGTGAATTAAATCACTTGTTTATAGTGACTCCTACTGGAGAGCAAAGAATACCAACTAGTATAGCTTCTGAATAAACTATATTTGGTAACACTTCTTTTTAAAAGTAGCATAGCCAACCCCTTTTCCTGGCTTGGCAAAATTTACTCTTCATCTAACTTTAAATACGAGAACACAGATTTGGATCCTGAGGCATCAGCAGATGTAAGTATCACAGGTTTGAGTATCTTAACWGTACACATATACTTCCCAGGTCAGTAATGTTGAGTACAAAGTGACCATGATTGGATATCTGCTTGGTAATGGAAATTTTAGCATGGTGCTATAGTTTACAGTTTTATTCCCTGTTAGTAGTCTTCTGTTGCCGAAGTCCATTTGGAGTGGAGATTATTGTCCTGATGCTCTTCAGGGCATCTTGCATGGAAGAAACAGCAGGAAAAATGAGGAAACACACCATCATTTATAGCATGCTGCTGAAAGAGGGAGGTCTCCTCTTATTTAAGCTTAGAGGAAATGTGTAAGTAAGGTAGATAAAGGAACTAAAACTCAAATCTGGGATGTGGCTTGGCCAGAGTGATGCTTCTAGGGAGTAGCAAGATTGTCCATCTCATACAGATATGTCTGACCCTCAGGTTTAAGCCCTCTGCATTTCCTAAGTTGCACATAATCTGGTTCCACTGTCTTAGTAGCTTTATGGTCTGTGAAATGTATGAAATGTCATCTAAGGTTTTTTGGGTATTAATTCTCTTGTCTTTCAAGGGAGAATGATATTACCTATCTCAGAGTACTGGTTATGAAGATTAAATATTGAAGGCAATTGTATGTTCCTTAAATTGTATATGATGATAGCTGTATTAAGTACTGTCTGTTTTTTAAAATTTTTTTTTGGTTCAATACATATTTACCTAAGGTGGTTATTTTATTTATAGTCTTGCTTTCTTGCATTATGCTATTAATCATATAGTGATGAATGTCACTATTCTCCCTAGGGTGTGATATTTACCTAATTCAGCTATGCTAGGCAAAAAGGATCAGCATTGTAGAAGTAAGCAAATATGGTTTGAAACACATAAACAAACTTTGTTCAGTAACTAAATTAGGAGCATGGACTTGTTCAAGTTCTTTGATGGAGAGAGAAATGGCATTCCCTCTCTATGACCGTCATTCATTCATTCATTCATTCAACCCATGCACTGAGCCATCTCCCTTATTCTGGGCAATGTGCAGGGCTCTGTGTGTGTGTGTGTGTGTGTGTGTGTGTGTGTGTGTGTGTATGTGTGTGTTTATTAGGCTTCTTTGGACTTTGTAGAAACTATGTAATGTTGTAGAACAAAAAAAATTAGAACCTAGTGTAATGAGATCTGTGATTGGGAGTTCAGTTCTTTGTCCTGTCATGGTTTGTTGTCTAATTATTTAAAATGTGTATGATTTTTCCCTACTTCACAATTAAGGCAATATTCTTTAGTCCTGTTTTTTCATGTTGTTCAAATGCCAGGTCACATCTCTTGGCCCTGTGGTCAGGCCTCCAAGGGCAGGAAGAAAGCTGACATGTCTCTGAATCCTGTTCATGTCCTGGATCAAACATAACCCGAAGTTGGGAGTCATTAGGAAAGTAGTTGAATGAATATAGAAATCCAAGACTGTTCACTCAGATGTTTGAACTTGGATATTTACTTGTGCCTAAATTCATTCATTCATTCATTCATTCATTCAACAAGATTTTATTGAATGTACACCTTGCTGTGGATATCATGCCAAAACCTTGGGGATTTCTAGTTAAATAACCCAAATTTCTTTTGACAACTGTTAATTTGTATTGTGTTGCCATTTCTGTTTCCCCTCAAATATATTTTGTCAAGGACTTTTTGGAAAATAACAARGAGAATTGCAAGCTTTTTAGATCATAGAAGAAAGTAAGAATAATGTCCTTTAGTAATTGGTTTTACTGGTAAGAATTTTTTCCCTGAAAGTGACAGGAAAACCTGGCTCTACTGCCTATCCGGGTCCTCAATGGTGCTTTGTAGCTGAGCACCAGAGTCATGGCCCACTCTTCGTTTCAGTGATAAAGGGTTCTCTTTRCTAAGCCACTGCTGGTGTATAACTTGCTCAGTTCCACACTGATGAAGCAATCAATAGGCCAGTTCAGGATCCCTTAAAAACTGGTTCAAACTGACTTCTTTTAAAACTATTATAAATGCATGGATTTAAGCATTTAACTTCAGTTGTTCTTATACTTCTGTGCTGACTCCCCACGAATCACAGTAAAAATTTATCATGGTTGATATTTCTGTCAGAAAGACAACTTCAAAGTCTGAGATCACAGAAATGTCTCAGTTGACAAGCCACTGACTTGAGTTC